GCCGCCATGCCCGGCTAATTGTTTCTATATATTTTTAGCTGTCCAATTAATTTCTTTCTATTTTTGGTAGAGACGGGGTCTTGCTCTTGCTCAGGCTGGTCTCGAACTCCTGACCTTGAGCGATCCACCCGCCTGGGCCTCCCAGAGAGCTAGGATTACAGGCATGAGCCACGCACCCGGCCACAATGTATTTTTTATTAAACAAATGATTAATTTTTTCCATGCCTTGTTCCAAAAAATAGGACTAAGATTTTTTTGAATGAATTAATAAACAATGTGCCACTTCTTATATAAAAAGATAAAATACGTAATATTTTACTGAAGCAGAAAAAACTCCCTGTGAAATGGAAATTTAATGTGTGATATATTTTAATTTATGAGTATCCCAGACCATGTGGCTTGATTGTCCACTTGACTAACTACTTACAGCTGTTTTATGAGAGCATTAAATGCTAGCATACTGAACATGAATGAAAGCAGGACAGTCCTTTGAAACTATTAATAAAGTTAGGATTCTAAAGGGTACTTTTATGGGTTGATGAATGTATTTTTTTAATAGTAGGAAAACATCTTTGGAATTTGTTGCTCCATGAATTAATATAAATATATTGGAGACAGGAAACATCTCAGGAGTTCTGCAGAGCTTTGCCCTGAAGGAATATGTGAATGTGTTAGTTTGCATATCGAAAGCTGTTTCACCTCAGGGGGGGCATCTCTGAAAGATAGTAGCGGCTGAATCCCACAAGGCACCATGATTTTCAAGACCTAAAGGTTTGGATTTGCTTTGTAAAGCAAGGCAGGTCTGCTAAAAACTACGGGATGAGAGCTGATCAAAGAGTGCCCGCCCTGAACAGACAGCCACCCGTGGCTAAAAGCAATTAGCCCAAGGGACAGTTCCTGCTTAAAACTCTGGACTACCTGTCTCCATTCACAATAACCTGATAAAGAAAATATGGAGCCAATATATCTCTGTTTAACCCCTCTGTTAAGTGATAAATTTACCTTAGAACTTAGAAGTTAGTCTTTGAAAGATTTTGTAACCATTTGTTCACGTA